CTAGCCCTGAATTGGTAGATCTGGCCCCTTTCCCCAAAGGTCAGTACATGATTAGGTCCACTCCTTTGAGCTGCAATACCATTGAATTGCAGAAATTAATCCAGGAAAGATTAGAATGTTTTGGGCACGTCTGGTGTGGTTTTTTTTTGTTTGTTTGTTTGTTTGTGTGCTTCTTCCCCTCCACTCCCATCCGATTACACTATAATGAACCATGCAAAGAGAAAATCTAAGAACAAGTGACCAAAAGTCTACTTATTCCCATGTCTTGTCTCTGTTGGTGGAGAAAGTTGTCAATAGATTTAAAAAGGAGAAAAAGTACAATTAACCATGTCTTTAGAAAGTCTTTTGTTTGTCCATATTTTGTTGTGTGAATATAGTACCTTCAGTTTATAGCAGCGTAAAATAGACTAAGAGGAGGCGAGTAACCCCATCCCTAAAGTCAGAAAAGTAAAAATTTCATCCAGATGGAGTAAATTACCTAAGGTAGATGTTCTACTTGGATGCAACTCCAGGTTTGACCCTGCTTCCAAATAGAAATGAAAGAACAGCAGAATAGGAATGTATCATTAATACTAGAGCGATTCTGGCACTAGGTATTCAAAATACTGTCATCTTTATAATGGTTAAATATAATATAGTACTTCCCCCACTCACACATCCCAACTTCTAAAAATAAAATGAGAATTGTTGTCCTTCTCATGAAACCTTTGGCTATACGATGAACCCTTTTCTTTCAGAGGAGCGCATTACTTTAAGAACAACTTCAATATGATTTCTTATGAACAAAATACTATCACTCTTAGGTTTTTCCCATCACAGACAGACTATCGCAGAAAGCTCTGATGGAATTTGAGCTTATCCTATTAGAATCATAGTGTACTGTTCCCAGGGGCCTAATTTTTCATTAGGACTTTTTTTCCAAAGACTTAACAAAACTTTTTAAAATATTCAATTTGACAGCAATTGAGTGTGAATGCCCCTGAACACACTGCTATTAGTTCTTTGGAATAAATATGTAATATTAAAAAAAAATATCTGGTTTTCCTACATTTGACAGTAGATGACTTGAATGAGAATTAAAATTAGAGAATAGAATAGAAGACGCTATTTCAGAACAGACTATAATTAATCTAATAGAATTCCCTTTCTGTTTATTTCTCACTCTCCATCCACGGTCACCTTATCTTTTTTTTGTCTTTAGCATAACCAGTTAGCTGTCACAGGTTGCATCTGCTATTATACATATGGCTGCACCTCGAGTACTGTGTTCAGTTTTGGGCCCCTCACTACAAGAAGGACATCGAGGTGCTGGAGCATGTCCAGAGAAGGGCAACGAAGCTGGTGAAGGGTCTGGAGCACATGTCTTACGAGGAGCGGCTAAGGGAGCTGGGGTTGTTTAGTCTGGAGAAAAGGAGGCTGAGGGGAAACCTTATTGCTCTCTACAACTACCTGAAAGGAGGTTGTAGCGAGGTGGGGGTCGGTCTCTTCTCCCAAGTAACAAGCGACAGGATGAGAGGAAACGGTCTCAAGCTGTGCCAGGGGAAGTTTAGGCTGGATATCAGGAAAAACTTCTTCACTGAAAGCGTTGTCAGGCACTGGAACAGGCTGCCCAGGGAAGTGGTTGAGTCCCCATCCCTGGAGGTATTTAAAAGACGGGTAGATGTGGTGCTTGAGGACATGCTTTAGTGGTGGACTTGGCAGTGCTAGGTTAACGGTTGGACTTGATGATCTTGAGGGTCTTTTCCAACCTTAACAATTCTATGATTCTATGACATAGGGACAGCAGTGTAGTTATCTGAGGAAACAAATTGTTCTTCACACAGGTATTCAGCTTTCCTTCTACTGCTGCTGTTGTCAAAGTAGTAAATCTTTAAATAATGCAGTTATAAATGTAGATAGCTAGCATATTGGCAACAACGATAAGGGTAGTATAAGAACACCTGGGAAAGAGCTGGGAGTTGTATATCTGTAAAGCTAAGATATAAAATCAAAAGAAGACATTAGAAAAGCATAGAGCGCTCAGAGCGCCACTCGTATGGCTCTGATCAAGGTCTTTACTATGGTTTTACAGGGTAAATGAAAGCTGCTCTTGTTTCTGAAACATAAGTAGTGTTGTCTGACAAACAAATAGCTCGTATTGCAAAGACAAAAACATTTAAAAGTGAGATACTGAAGTCACACGTATGTTTGTATACATTCTACTGAAATACAAGCAGATGTTTACGTCAGAGTTATGGAAAATAAATTTAAAAATAAACTAAGTAGTGTTCAGCTAGGAATAAATTTAAATGTTGTTTTCTTAATCTCCTCACACCCATGCAGTTTTCTAAACCATGTTTAAGAAAGAGCTATAGATTGTGAGCTTTAAAGCATTGGTACCTTTTATTAGAAATCCAAGTTTCATGCCTTTTGTTTTGCTAGAATAGTTTTAAAGTCATAGAGAAGTGGGATTGCTCAAATACTGTAGAAGTTAAACTTGAAACAGAAAAGGGAAACAACTTTTTTCCAGCCTTCACTATTTTCCAGATAATAATTCCAATTTAAATCAGAAACTGAAACCTGAAAAACATAATTGTCATCAAGAATTTTGTTACCTCCTTCGCTTCACTTAAGGGCTGAAAATATTCAATTTGAAACTAAGAGTTTTTCTCCTACTCTGGAAACACAAGGGAAAAATAGGATTCCTGAATCGGAAAGATAAATTACGATATTCAGTATCAAGAAAAAGTTACAAACTTAGGTTCCAGCTGTACTTGAGGTATCTACTCGCTCTTTTTCTTCTAATGAATCACAGGTCAGTAGTTTCTTTCACAGTTACGTGTGCTTCCCTTCTCTTAGGCCACAATACTGCTTTTACTCCCTGAAAAAAAAAAAGAAGAATTTGTAGGAAAAGAAATATGAAATGAACATAAGACAAATGGAAAGGAATCACTTCAGAGAAGATAAAAGGATGGAGAAGAAGGAAGGATGACTTATTATTCAGGCATTACATTGAGACTTAAAACTTCCTGACTTTGACATAGACTTCTTGTAGTTTTGGACAGGTTGCGTAGGATGCAAATGTTGAGCGACTAATTGTAGAGTAACCAGGTTCCAAACACTGGTGGTTCTTGATGTGGCCTGATAACATCTTCTCGAGGTGAGATCTCCCTTTCTTTTATTTCCTACTATGAAAAATTGGAATAATATATAGCCGCTTCATAGGGGTGTTGTCTCTCCTCATGAATGTCTGTGTATCATTGCAAAAAAAGTGCCTCTCAACATGAAAAGTAGTATTGCAGTGTTGGAGAACCCTCAAACACCTGTGGAAGAACTCGGGTAGGAGAAAAGAAAGGAATGGAAACTGGATGTTTAGTTTAAAAGGAAGGATAAATGGCCACGGGAAGCACCATGTGCAAAAACCAGTTACAAGTCTGTCAGAAAGTTACAGCGTATTTGCTCTGGTTTGTTCCTTTTAAAAGAGTTCTGACCAGGACGGAAACCTGCATCATAGAAGCCCATGTGACTTGTGATGTTTTACTACCAAGGATTATCTTATCTTGCTTCATCATCATAAAAACTTCTGTGGCTTGGAATAAAACATGACTAAAAGAGCTTTTGCAACACCAGTAGAATTAGGGAACAAAACCCATAAGGGGTAGTTCCTAAGGTGAGTGGAGCCACTCAGCCAAGGAACAAAACTCTGTCTTCTCAGCAGGAGCAAATGCATTCCTCCCCCCTCCCCGGCTGGCAACACGGCAATATGTATTCCTGTACTCCTTTACCTGGGTTTTCCTTTAAGAAGCAAAGAAAACGTCAGCCTCCTGAAGGAATCCAGCTACAAAGAAACCAAACAAGAGCATTATGGACCTGCTCGAATCTCACTCGGACAGTATCATCCAGTCTCTCCCCATGACTGCTCTGCTCTGGTTCGGCTTTTTTGTGTGGTATTAGTGGAGTTCGTTAGTTGTTTGGGCAAGGCTTTATTTCAAACACTCCAAGTCTAGAAGAACATGAAACATGCCTCTGGGGAAAGTGAAAAATCTAGATTCAAGCTCCTTTCATTCATGTATTTGGCTTAGCGTTTCCTCTGTTAAGGAAGGGTTTCACAGGCCATTTGCAGCACTGCTGATGCTTTTGGCCATTAGACTGTCACAGATCGGCTATTTTCTTCAGCATGGTTTGCGATGGAAAATTTGCATGAGCTAGGTTAATCGAAGAATTAATTAAATGGCAAAATACATTTGGTGTGTGTGGGTTCCTTCCTGTGTTCCCACCAGGAGCCCGAGGAGAGGCAAGTTCGGTGCAGAGGGAGGCTTTGTTCGGTTAAGCTGACCCACCTTTTGCCAAGGGATCCGTCAGGAGCGGCTCGGGTCTTTCTCTGCAGTAGTTCTGGGGGGGTTCACCGGTTCCCAGCTACTGCTCATCCTTTGCCACTACATCCTCTGCTTTCTCAGGAAGAAGAGCAAGGATACGAGTAAAGTAAGTAGTTTTAATAGGAGATGCAAGAAAACACATAACCAACCTTCGAAATTTGTTGCAGGGATTGTTATAACCTGATGTTCTTAGCTATTGTTCAGAGACATTTCCAGTGAAGTCAGTTGATTTGACTGAATTCATCTTCAGAACTACATTCCTGCACTCTAGAATTTAGCCAAGAACTTACATCAAATAGTAAGTTAAAGACAATTAAAAAATATTTTCAAAGTTATTCACTAAAATGACTTTTTTCTTTAGCAATTTATGATTTTTACTGCATTTTACAGGCAAAGCAATAGCCCAACTTTTGGCTGAATTGCTATGAAACAGTAGTTCTGCTAACAGTTCATTGACGCTGCTTTCTTATTATTTAGCATCTGGTTTTGACATTAATTATTTAGCTTGTATAGCAATGGCTCTCACAGAGTAAACAACAAAATAGGAGCTTGCATTACAAAAAGCAAAAATCAACCAACCACAAAGAATACAGTAAAACTGTTAGACAACACAAACTAAAAAATTATTTTCTTTCAGTTACAGAAATGGACTGCCATTTTTCTGTGTGGGGAGTTTTGGCCTTTCTGAGTTTGGCCCTGGTTGTTTCATTGATACTGAATATTTCACACTATATGAAAAAGAAGCAAGGTAAGTAATGTTGTCTCTCTGTAAGGAATGGAGTTTGAGTGTTTGAAGGGTCTGAAGAGAACGCTATTGCTGCTGGGAGAGTTCAAGCCAAAAAATTGATTCTTTTGAATCTTAAAGTTATCTTTTGGCAAGAATGATTCCAGGTGAGAGGATGTAACTTTTAAAAGTTTTTAAGAGAGTCAGGTATGATTACAGAATGATTGCTAGCTGCCCAATCTGCTGCTAAAAACAACCACCTAAATCCATTCTCTGAAGACAAACCAACAGAACATGTACAAGGTGAAGAATTTAGTTCTGGTTAAATTTTTATTTTTCAAGTATATTTTTAACATCTGTAATTGCCTTTTTTTAAGTGTACTTTTCATGTAACTGGTTATCATTTGTACTTTAATTTAAAAATTATTTTAAGTAGCTGCACTAATACAAAATATATTTGAGAAAGTTTTCTGCTCCCAAAATTCTTGAATGCTTATTTGAATTTCAGATTTCATACATATTTTATGCTTAATCAGTTTATTTTGAAAAAAAGTTCTAGTTGCTTTTCATCATGGGATCCTAATGTAGCTCCTAAACCAATGTGTCACTCACAGTAAGGCACAGGTTTGTTTAATTTATGTTAGAGGGTGACTACAGTCATACTCTGGTTTTGGTTAAAATTAACTATGACTTTTTTAACAGAATTCATGATGCCAGTGCAACCTCTCTTATGCACACAATTCTGTAGTTATTAAGTTGTGCAGTCCTCACCACTCCCATTCAGGGAAAAACGGCCTTTACACAGGGAGAACTGCAGCTGTGCTATACGCGTACGGGTGGGCAGGCACACACTGGTGGATTCAACTACGTTAAACAGACATACATATGTAATCTGCATAAACAGAAGGCCTATGCTTATAACCTGAACTCACCAAGTAGAAGAGAGTTAGCTTATTACAGGATATTTAAAGAGCTGCTGAGCATTGTGGGATGGGGGGGTGCCTTTTCTGTTTATTTTGTCTTTTAGTGCTAGTAGGCAGATATTTCTACGATGAAAACTCACAGTCATTTACAAAACTATCCTTGAGCAAAGTTTTGGTCAGATTGGCTGATGCTGCATTGTTTGTGGAATCGGAGCTTACCGTGGTGAATTCTGGAGTCCTGGAGCAGGGGAGAGAAAGTCAGGCATTCC